TAAACGAGGCAGCGCTCCCCGGCTAAAAATAGCACGCAATTCACAAATCAAAGATTGCACTGCGATGCATTTTGTCCCGGCGGCCTCAGTAATATTACATGAGTAAATTCTATTTTATTTGATCGCACTCTCATTTTTCTGTTTTGTTTTGCCTGTTCGTTTTGTTTTTCAAAGCGAATTAGAGCAGCAGCAATCCCTCCCGGCGCTGCTGCGCGTCACGCGCTGGCTCGCCCGGGCAGAGCGCGCCAGGACACAGCACACGGCAAAAGCAGCAGCCGCGCGAGCGAGAGCGGCGCCAGCTCTCCCTTCTCGCAGTGCTTCTCAGGCTCCTTGCCACTGAGCTTCAGAAAGGCTTTGTGCTGGTGGAAAGGGTAAATGGCATACATCCCGGCACTCAAGGGGATTGCAGACAAGCATGCACCAATCTTGCCTGCCCCCTCAAACTTCAGCCCGCTCCACCCAGTTCTTTCCAAGCTGTCCAGCCCTGGCTCCGAATCCTAGTCTCCAGCCTTTTGCCAGACAGTCCTAACTTCCAATGCTCAGATGTTTTTCCTCCAAATCCCAAGCTCCCTGCTCATCAGTCCTAGCCCTGCCTTGACCCAACGCACGCTCCTGAGCGTGCGGACCTCCCCTCTTACATTCCCAGGGCTGCTCCCTTGCCAAGCTAAGCCTCGTCTCCTAGTTCCTCATGTGATGTCTCCCCGCTCCCTCCTTCCCCCTCGCTGAATCGAGCGCTGAGCAGAAGGGTTCCCGCACGCGCAGAGCTCTGGGCTGCTCTCCACCTGCCTGTCAGTCCCCCCGCCTCAGTCACGCTCGATCCCACTGCTCGTCTGCTCAGCGGCTCTTCCTCACCCCTCCCCTGCTTTCTCCTCCTCTCCCGATCGCCTCGTCTACCGTGCCCGGAGGCTCTCCTGATTTCCCTCTCACGGACGTTAGCCTTCAGCTCCCTCCTTTGCTCCAGGTTGTGGGCAGCCGCACGCCTGTGTGCCCAGGAGTGCTTTGCAGGAGTCTTCCCCAGTGGACACCAGTGCCTTTTTAAAGGGGGAAAAGAATAAGGGAATGCAGAAGTTTTCTTACACAAGCGACTCTCAGACCATTAAAAAGCGTCACGGAAGGTAACCGAGATCTGAGCCCAGCAGTACGAGCTAGCGATTCCAGCGCAGAGCGCGCCGTGGTTTCAAGCTCTTCACGTTCAAAAGATGAGCTGCTACGTTTTGCACTAACTAAAGCTTCTCGGTAGCCTTCAAGTGTTACATCCTTACCCTGAACTGCTATAAACTGGCCTGAGGTTGCAAAGGTGTCAACTCATGTGGTGAGGGCCACATCAGGGAAGAAAAGCTGCAGATTCGGGTCTAACTACACCTGCGGTTTCCACAGTGAACACGTAAAACTGTACGGTATTAGTTACTCCTCCATCTACCAGAACGTGCCAGGATGCACCAGGACCACCACGGTTAGGTTACATGCCAAAGTAAAGGATAATGTGAAAACCTAGGCAGGAACACACCAGTTAATGTCATAGGTGAAAAATATGCAAGAATCAAACTGAAGACACATATCGCATGCACAGGGCTTGGGAAAGTGCTTCATTGCTTGTTCGTTTTTACTGTAGCTATTACCCCCAAAACTGGTCGCGTTTCTTCAAGGAGCTGAAGCTTTTGAAAGAGCCACCGGGACATGCTGAATTTATTATGATCCTACCCTTCTTCAGGGATTCAAAGAGGAGGTGGGGCACCCAAGTCCCTGCTCTTCCCCAGCAAGACACTTTCTCAACACCTCTCAGTACTTTCTTGTTGCCCTGGTTTAGCTCCTCTTCATCTCTACCCGCAATTTTAAATGCCTGAGAACAGGCAGTAGTGTCAGAGGAAGCCAGTCTAACATCACTCAGACTTTGCAAGGAAAAAAAAGGAGAGAGACGTGTTCTTAATGTGGAATTCAACAATTCTACTGAGTTTACTTAAGCTAAAATAATAGCAACTTGTGTTTTATCTCAGGGAACCTCTAGGAACATGGAGGTTGACTAAAGCTCTTGACTCTTGTTAAGATTAAAGCACTTCTCTTGGCCCTACTGATCCCAAATTTGCTAAAGTTGCTAAATATCCAAACCAGCATCTTAGGGGGTGAGGAGGGGAGACCTACATAGAGAGAAAGTAAGCGATATCAGCACCTATGGAAACAGTTTGGATAACAAAGCTGAGATGAGTCGTCGATGTTCAGCTGCTGATCTGAAGACACTGAATAGTTTGGGTAGCCTGCAGCAGCACTCCACTAACCTCCCAATACAGGCAATTTAGGCTGTAGATTAGAGCAGCAATTAGGGAAGTTAGGTCAGTCTGGAAAACAAGATGGCAAACTGAAGGACTGCAAAATCAGTCTATCCTATTTTACAGGCTCTCTTCCATATTCTCGACTGGTTTGGTTGAAGACATTTCAGATAGATCTGGAAGAACCCAGAATTCAGCTCAAATGCATCAACTGTTTTGCAAGGCCCATGCACAAAGTTTGACAGCTCTGCTTCAGGATGAGGTCCTCTCTTAGCTAGAAATCACCTGAAA